CCTCCCGCGGGGCGGTCAAATGTCTGCACTCTAAGATTGTGGTCACTCTCCCTCACGCAGAGAGCAAAAGCACACAAGACTCTACGGCAAGACTGATGCACTCTGGAAGTCGGTGTATTGGTCATGATTCCTTTGGTGGCAAGTGACAGAATTACAACACAAGCCAGTTGCAACAAAGTCACCTGCTGAGACGATAATGGGGAGCCAAAAGGTGATGTTGGCTTTCAGGCAAACTCAGAACCAGGAATGCAAACAGAACAGTCACTGATTCCTCTCCAACTCCTGGATCTCCCCTCTTGTGTTTTGTCTACCACCGATGGTCTCTCTCAGTCAGTGGCGAAGAAGCCCAGGAAGCTTCAGGCCCCAACTGCCCTGGAGCTGGAGATTCCAGGTGAGAAAGGCATCTCTCCTGCAGTTCCGAAAGCAGCCTAAAGAGGGCGCGCATAGCTTTGGAAAACTGCGTAATCCGAGCAGGGTTAGCGGGCATCGGGTTACCTGCTCTGCAGCCAGGTACTACGCTGCCCTCACTGCTCTGTCCTGTAAATGCTGCTACTTCTGTTTCACAAGTCTTATTTCATTTGGCACATTAGTTTGCTAGTGAGATAGGATAGAAGAAATAAGGATAGGCAGAAAGAAGACAAGGAAAATTGGAATTTTGATTGTACTTTGAAGAAAACTGCAGCTGCAGGGCACCATCAAAGTCACCCAAGATTACAGTGCCTTCTTTCTCCTTTCCAGGCAACTCACTCCAAAATTCCTGGGTCTTAAAAAGATACAAAATGCCTGTGAGATGAGCCCTTGCCTTTCTCCTGTAAGTTGGTCCGTGCTTTTTCCCCAATACTGTAGATTGATGGATTCCACAGACTGTAACACCCAAAGGCACACAAGTACCCCCAGCCTTAGACCACATGTGCCTCAGCCCTCCAGTGCCCATGCCCCTTTCTGTGTACTTCTTTGAGTCTGCTTTCAGAAACCTGCCATGTCTCATGCTGTTGTGTTCTGAAATGCTTTTCTGTGACAAAAATCAGCAAATGTATGCCGTGTTTTTTTTTTTTTTTTTTTTTTTTTTGTGTGTGTGTGTGTGTGTGTGTGTGGTGTGTTGAGGTCTCCATTTCCTCTACGGGTGGACCTCCTCAGGCCCCATCTAATGATGCTGGGGCTGCCATCTCAGGCCACCACAGCCTGCCTGGCTTAAGCAACAGAAATTAACTTTATCACAGTTCTGGAGGCTGGGATTCTCTTTGAATGTCCTAATCCCTTATAAAGACACCAGTCAGGTTGGATGCAATCCTCCTGAATGGCCTCAAATGAATCACCTCTTCAAAAGCCCTGTCTCCAAATACAGTCACATTCTAAGGTACTGGGGGTGAGGGCTTTGGCATATGATGCTGGGGACAGACCACAGTTCAGCTGGTGAACAGTGGGTAGCGTGACCTTATCCACGGCACTATAATGACCCTCCTGCAGCTCACGGCAGTGTACATGGAGGCAAAGGCTTTACGGCTCAGAGCAGTAGGTGAGATAAGGCGCCTTACTGGACTAAAAACCCTAGCAAAGTCAGGGACACCCTACATACACTGTGCAAGAGAAGCCATCTAATATTGTGTGAGAGTCTTGGCCCTCTGTAGACGCCGGTGGTTAACCAGGCTTGACTGCTCAAGCTTTCTTCTCTCTGCAGCATCTTCAGCTTTCCTTTTGGGTCCCCAAATACCAGTCATGACCAGGATGCTGAGGAGCAGTAGTCACCTTCTCTCCCTCCCTCCCTCATGTGGGCCATAACAGTGGTTCTTAAAGTGTGGTATTCATACTGCTGGTGAATACGAGATGAGTGCAGATGAGCCAATATCTCTGGAGAGTTCTGACATTTACTTTAATTTATAAAAAAAATAGAACAAGCTGGATAAATGGTTCATTTCACTGATGTTAAAATGGAAACATCTGGTATGAGTTGATTCAAAGAAAAGTGTTCCATAAGTAACATTAAGTAAATAAACAATATGATGACAAGGGTGAAGGTTGTATTTGAGTGGGACAGTTCCCCTGACAAGGAAACCCTATGGTTTGAGGGCATAGGTGTCACAATATTTTTTAACCTGATTTATCCACACACATGGTCCTTCCCGGCCCCCAAGCACCACAGCTGGACATGGCTGCTGTCCTCTGGTGTCCTTTATACTGTGTCCCTGTGCCTGTTGGACTAGGCCAGCTAAAGAGGCAGGAGAGCTCTTGTTTACTTAGGGCCCTACTCCAGGGCTTCTGAATCACCTGGCCTCAGCTCATTTACAGATGTGTAAGCAGGTGTTTGCATGGTCAAGATTTTCAGCGATGGAGAGTGATACGCTTTGGACTTCATTCCATACAGGGAGTTAGTGGAATTGGCATAATTCTGTGATGTTGAATGCCTTTATTTTTTATCTTTTGGTTTTATGAGACAGGGTTCAGGCAGTTCAGGCTGACCTTGAACTCACAACAGTCCTCCTGCCTCAGCCTCCCAAGTGCTGGGATTACACGTATGTGCCATTACACCTGACTGCCATTAGTCTTAGTGCTTTCTCCCCTTGAATGATGCTAGCTGTGGTGATAGCTACCCTTCTATTCCCTCAATTCCCAGCTGCGACCACTGACACTTTGTACAGCCAATGTCTAGGGCTGTGCTCCTGGCACCTGGTGGAGGTGACGGGTTCCTGGTGTAGCTGAGCTGGCTCCTTGTGCGATCTGCTCAAATACTCACAGCCTGGATGTGGCTGCAAAGGTTTTTAGCTCTCACTGCCTGTGGTTCTCCAGCCTCCAAAGTTGTGTCCTGCCTCATTAATGTAAGGTTGCCCTTCGGGGTCCAAGCTGTTATATGCACAGGGGAAGCCAGAGTGCACCTTAGAGTATGAAGTACAGTAAGTCTGACATTTCTTACATGAAGTTTATGTTGTATTTGCTTTTGAAAGACTGGGTTAAACAAAGTTACGAGGAACTTTCGGGCCTTTTGGCATTGCACCTTGCAAGTCTATGAGGACATGGGCACAATGTGTGTTCTTTAATGGTACAGTGATTGTGTCAGAAACTCTGAGATTCACTTACTCAGAAATCATTCCCCGTTTTGCTTCCTTTTTCCCCTTGTGGTAGAGGGTATGGCTCACACAATGGAGGCTGAAAATGCTAAGCACCCACTTTTCCATCCTTCACTGCAGTAAAGGCAGAGGTATACATCCTAGTTTGGCCAGAGGGATCTGGGCAGAAATGTACCAAGGACTTCCTGATTAAAATAGATATGGAAAAGAAAATTCTTTCCTGTCTTTTGATATGGTTGTGAGGATATGATGCCTGGAGCCATAGCAGCCGCGTGTGTACAGGAATATGGGAAACTGTTCAGCAGAAAACAGTAAGAACATGAGGCAATATAGTGGCAGAGAGCAGAAGCCAAAATACCGAGGATGGTGGAATAAAGAGGTGCAAGGACCACTGAGCTCTGCTGCTGCATGTACCGACCTTGCATCTTAGGCTCTGGCTGTGCCAGCTAACACGTGTTCTCACTGTTTCAGCTGTGTTTAATAAGGTGCTTCCTACCTGCAGTGGAAAGGGTAAGCGTGACAACCTGGTCCTTCCCACCAGGCTGAGATAGACTGGCAGCTGTACTGGTGATGATTCTATCATAGGCCTCTCTTCTGCTAAGCTGTTTCCTGTCTGTGAGATGGAGATGTAAATTATGGCCACTTCTGGGTGGCGAAAGAAGCTTAACTAAATAAGATGAAGTGTGGAACGTTCTCGGCACAGAACTTGGTGCATCGGTGGTGCTTATTATTTTTGATTGCAGCACCTTATTTGTAATTAGAACATCCTCTGCTGTCTCGAGGAAAATGTATTTTGCAGAAAACAATCTGGGTAATGCTGGCCCCATCAAATGCTTGTATTTTATGAAGAGAAACTAAAGGAGTGGCTGCCCTTTAGCTTCTTTTATTTTGAAAAATGCACACGGCTTAGCCTCTTCCCACACCAGTCATTCCCATCCTCGCTAGAAACAACAGAAGGACACGGGTTTGGGTTGAAGTGATGTGTTTTATGGGAAACGAAAAATAACAATAACAAAAGCCCTTCAATCTCGCAAGTTGTTAACCAGTGATAATGAGGCAGTGTCAATGATTGCTTCTGGCTGGGGACGTCTCTAATGGGTCAGGAAAGTTGAAAGACATTGGCCAAGAAAGAGAATTTGCAAGGAGGCTTGACATTTTAAATGAGGGTGCATTGGACTTCCCTTCTAATCCCCCACTGTATCACTCCTTCATCTTCCTTTCCTGTCAGTTTACAAAGGTCTTCCTGATTTCATTCAAAGGCAGTCTCTTCCAGAAAGCTTTCCTTGGTCTGCGCCAATGGCGTTTGACTTTTCAGTAACCTCCCAGAACTTCCTCACACCTTCTCCTGCCACGCTCTGCCTCACAGCCGTTACGTCTGGGTACAGGCCTTGTGCTGCCCCTGAGACCAGGGCCCATGTGATTTACCCCAGGGTCCCCCTTTTCAGTGCTCAGCATCAGCAAGTGCTCAGTGAGGGTTGTAGAAGTCAGTTCTACATTTGTTGTATCAGCAAATTATCTCTAGAGAGCCATAATTGTTATTTCTACTTCTTCATCCTTCCTCTGTGATCCCAAAATGGTCTGACTCGAGGCTACTCCAAGAAGGAACAGCCTCCATCAAACACTGCCACCTCAGAGGTGAAGGTCTGGGGGAGAGGATGAGAGAAAGTTCAGCTTTTGCCCCTGTTCTGGAAGGCAAGAAAGGCAGCCACTGGCACAATCCAGGATGGCCATGAGCAGTGCTGGCCAGTACTCATTGTGGAATCTTGTGAGCAGACATTCTCTGAAAGCTTCCCCCATAGGACCTAGGAACTTTGCATCAGGGATTGGTGGGGACTCAGTATGGTTGTCCTACCAGCCCAGAAACCATGGTGTAGGCCAAGAACTTTCTTTGGGGTGTGGCCTGTTCTGCAGCAGAGGTGAGAGTTGTCTGTCTGGTTGTTTTGTTGGTGCTGTGGTGGGGACATTAGCCCTGTGGTGTGTAGATCATCAGGCACAGAGATTGTAATAAGGCTGAAGATTGCAGGCTGCAGTTATGGGCCTCTCCAAGAAAGCGGGGAGGTGAGAAGGTGCTGCGAGCAGTGAGGGCAAGAGGAGGGCCGGTAGGTCCACGGACTCGCCTCTTCTGGGGGCTGGGCTCTCCCTCCCCTCCAGCTCCTTTCTTCCTCTACTTCTCCAAGTCCAGGCCAGGCAGAGGGGCCAGCTACAGGCAGTGGAGGGAAGGGAAGTGCCTTTTTCCTTTTTCCTACCATGAATCCTAGATCTGGATAAGGGAGAGGTCAGGACTGAGGATAGAGGGGGACAGTTGATGAGCTAAGGAGAGGCCACGGCCCTATCCACTTCCAGCTACTGGTGTGATAAATGGATTTGAAGCTCATACTCCTACCCCCAGAGAGCCCTGAGCTCCCAACTGGGGGTGCAGAGAAAATTGTTCATGAGCTCAGTGATTTGGGGAGATTGCTGTGGATCTGCCCACGGGAGGGCCCCTCTGGGGCCCAATAGTGTGCAGAAGCTGCATGGTCAGCATCAGCCCTGGAGACTTGAAAAAGGGCCAGGAAGCAGAGAGTAGAGAGACTTCCCCAGGCTCCTTTTAAGGAAAGAGAGTTGGATCTTGGGGGACTCAAGTTAGGACAGATGTTTCAGTATAAAAAAGATCCCCAGTAAAAGGACAGAGTCCCCTCAAATCCCTTCCCAGATCCTACAGCACTTAGAAAAGAGAAGGAGCATAAAAAATACTTTGATGATATGGGTGTGCCTGATAGTACAGAAAAGCAAGTCTCATGGCAGGCAGTGTATCCTGTTACACAAGAGGATCATACCGTGCTTCAGGATAGAGCTTTTACATACATCTTTATACAAATGCATCTATATGTATAGAGCCTCTGCCTAGAACAGCCGGGCTTGCTTCTTCAGTTCATTCCTCTTCCAGAGGGCCAGCCGCTCAAACTCCGAGATAGTCATGCCAAAGACTTGGTAGAACTCTTCCTGGGACAGGTGGCGCTGAAGGAGGTGGAGGGGATGGAGAGAGAGCAGGGTGAGGAGGGGAGGTGTGGGTAGGGGCAGTCTCTGTGTATTCCCGGGAGGCTGTGTGATAAATACACACTGAGCCAATGAATGAAGAAATGCAGTTTCCGCAGAGGGGCCTCTGCAGCTGATCTGCTGGGTGGCTTCTGGCTCAGGCAAAGCTTTGGCTTTGCTCAAGCACTTGCCAGGCAACTCTGGACTTCAGCTTTTCCTATTCCATGCATTTGTGCCTGGAAGTGTGTATGGATTAATGTCACCCTACACCCCGTTTGGGAGAAAAAGGAGGCATATCCAAGATTTGAAGGTGCATTTCTTCTAATTAGTACTGTAACAAATGATCTAGAATGCTGTTCAGTCCAATGAATAAAGTTGCTGCTTACATTTTTCAACCCACGGATAAATCCTTTGAAAATCTCTCTCTCATATGAAACCAAGTATGCTCCATGATCAAACATTATTCTGCACTACACGGAAGCCTCCCCCATTCTGTTTTTCCTTCCCTCTTCTAAGCAGCTGTGAAAGTGTGATACACTGTTGAAAGCTTTTAGATTTAGAAGTATGTGGCATTTAAAGTGGGGCAAAATATTAACAATTGGTGCATTTGGGTGGAGGGTAGATGAACGCTCATTTTACTATTCCTGCAACTTTTTGAGAGGCCTGAAATTTTTCAAAATGAAATTTAAAATCAAGCTTAGAAAGAGAAATACATACATGCTTGAAGAGGGCATGGTCTCTGCTTTGTTTACTGGTCCCTGAAAACATCCAGATCAGTACATGGCCTGTATAGGCAAGATATATACCATCTACACAATAGACTTTTAATGAACATTATTTTGAAGAATGAATATTATACCTGAGCTCCTGGAAGTCAGGGCTAGGATCTTCCTTCTAGAGACCATTCCTTGAGCTGGTGCAAGGCAGTTTTTCTAACTTAGTGGTCTGGCCTCTACACTGTAGATACTCCTGAGAGCTTTTAAAATATACTCATGCAGTTGCTCCTCCCCAGGTTTTGATTTAGTATGTCTAGGATTGGGAGCCTGTATAGAAGATGCTCCTTGGTTGACTCTGATATTCAGGAAGGCTGAACTCGCCTGGCCTGAGCTGCTAGGGGCCTGCAGAATCTGTGCATCTCTCCACGCTGGTTCAGCGAAGCTGCCCTGGGAGCTGTCCCCTTCAGCACCTGCAGCCGCTCAGTTCCAGACAGTGAACAGAGGAGGCCCTAGTAACACATGTGGGGAGGCTGCTCTGTGTTCTCAGGCTGCGAACCCAGCGTGCTAGAGCTGGGAGGACACATAGAACTTCCGGGCCACTTGCATTCCCCTCCTTTACCACTACCTTGGGTGATTCCTCAGCAATAGGTCAAGGGTAGCTTATACGCTTTCCCAAGGAGGACTGAGCCTTCTGCTTGGGCAGCTTCAATTCCACAAACATTTCCTGACATCTTTCCCAGCCAGGGCACTGTAGCAGAGGACTGTTTTTGCCCTTAGGGAGATCAAGGTCAGGCAGAGACAAAGAAAAAGTCAATGATCTGATGTAAAGGAGATCTGGATCCTGGACATAAGGCAGGGGAAGCTGAAGGAACAGGATCCATCCTGAGGGAGGGCTGGAGGAGGGTTTAGGGCTTTGAGATTACTAGTGTGGGCCCTGGGGCCTGAGGAAGCTCACAGGATGGGGAAAGCATTCTATGGAGATGGGAAGGTAAGGAGAGGCAGGGAGAGGCACATCAGGGAAGGGGTGAGGTATACCAGACAGAGGAGGCCAGGGGCTAACACTTCTTCCATGTTTTAACTGCACTGCTTGAATGCCTGACATCATGCTCAGCCACTCTTCACCTTTATCTACACTGTTTCCACCACTCATGATGCTGCTCTCCCTCTCTCTAGCCAAAAGCCACCTGCTTTCCAAGTTCATCCAGATCCTTCTGCTAATCTAGTGTCAATCATCCCAAGCCTTAGTGGTCTTTCCTGAATAGCAGCAATTTAACATCTACTGAGTACTTAATACCCAGTCCATTGCCAAACTCTGTGCTGAAGGCTTCCTGTATATTGTTCATTGTTTTTTTTTTTGGCAGCTGGAGGGAAGCACAGCACCCTCATGGACTGAGGAGAAAAATAAGGTTTAAAGAGGATGTCACTTGGCTAAATAAAGCTGCTCACCTTGTGATGGCAGAGGATTGTGAACAGAGGGAATTTGACTTGGGACTTATTTATGCTTTTACCTTCGATTTAGTGCTGTTCTTCCATCCTCCCCCACTGCAAGCACTAGCTTTATGTATAATTTGGAGACTGCAGGCCCCTTGCAGGCAGGGATTAAGTCTAGCACTCTCCTGTGTCTGCAGAACTCCAACCCCAGCCAGGGACACTCTGCTGCTCACCACAGGTGCTGATCGGTAGAAGAGGCAACACACGGTGGCAGGGAACTGCTTTGAGCTGCGGAAACTGGTTCAAGGCTCTACTTTTTCAACAAGCTGTGGGATCTTAATGTCACCCAAGCTGGGTTGGATCAGGGAGCTTCAAACCCAAAGGCTTCTGCTCAGTTTTCTAGACTTACTTCTAAGCGTGTCCGATCCACATCCTTGGGTAGTCGGTTTCTTCCTCTTGTGGTCACCAGCAGCAGTTCATAAGGGTAGATCTAGGGAAAAAAGGGTATGTGGGAGGCATTTCCAGCTTGGGTGAGGAAGATGGGCTTGTCTCTTTCATCTGTACTTTGTTGTTGGGTTCCTTCCTCTATTCAGAGAGGGACAGAGATTAAGTCTGGAGGAAGGCTGGATCTGCCCCTATTTGGGTGGCCTAGAAGCCTTAAGGCATCTTCGCCCCAAAGGCAAGGCCCCACAAAGTCCCCTGACTCTGTCGAAGAGAACCTTGATGGTATTTGGCATTAACATGGGCACAGGCCTGAATGTGTCTCCTAATTGGTGATTAGTAAGCCACCAGAGTCCTGGAGGCCCAGGGGAATGGCCTGATTTTATAGGCAGGAGATTTGGGCAGGATTCAGGGAAAGTGGTCCAAAGAGGGACAGGAAATGTTAGTCTTGAACTCTGGAGATTATTCCTCTATATTCCCTTTCCTGCATAGAGGTAGTCTCATCCTCTTGCTGATCCCCAGTGTAGTGGCTCCCAGCATCCTGGAGACCCCCAGGGTCTATGTATCCTTTACCTTGTACTCTGCAGGGAGAAAAGAGACAAGAACAGAGTCAAACCCATCAATCTTGACTTTGCATCACTACCCTGGCTGCTGCCTTGGCCTCCGATGATGTCTGGCCTCCATACATTTCCTGGTCTTGGTCATCCAGAGACCCTGTCCTGGCTGAATTCACCACGGAAAAGAGCCACAGCTCATGTGAGTATGGTGAACGACTGCACATAGGGGTTAATCTTGAGATGGCTTTAAGGGAAAAATAGGTTTTGAGATATTTAAAATAGATATAAAAGGATGTGAGCTCTGGAAGCACATGGACGTGAACTTCCTTCTTCTGGGGGTACGCACTAAGATTTTGACGTGTGCTCCTCCTCCCTGTGCCTACTGAGGGGAGCTGGTGGGTGCTAGCGTGAGAACTTTCCTGGCAGAAAGCACGCAGCTCATGGAATTTTTTTTTTTTTCTGGGAACAATGTCCATTTGGCTCTGGGTGTTTCCCTTCACCGGGGCTGCCAGGCAACTCTAGCTCAGCAGTACAGGGACATCGGCACTCTGCAGTGGCTCTGCGAACCCAGATGGGACAGATGGCCTGGAGAGCACCCAAGGTTGGGGACTTGAGAGGAAGAGCAGGGGGAAAAGAGGGATTGAAACTCAGGGTTTGGACAGAGCCCAGGGTAGAGATGGAATCCCAGCAATTATTTGCCAGAGGTCAAGCAGCAGCTATGAGCAACACATCCGGAGTCCCTGGGAAGTCCCAGAAGGAGCCACCTCCTGTAACCCCGGCCAGACCCGCGCTCACCTCGCATGCCCCAGTTGACTGCGTTCATGCTGTCGTAGTGGAAGAGGTCTGCACTGGGTGTCTGCAGAGGAGACAAAGCCGGGATGGTCTGAGATATGCTCGCCTCTGCCTCTCTGAAGTTTCACTCATCTCTAGAGCAAGGACCAGGGCTGACGGGTTGAGGGCCCCCTTTATGGCCTCAGTCTCAAGATAGGGAAATCGAACTCACTGCTGCCTTTCTGTGCCTTGACCTAGCACATGTTAGGCATTCAACCCTTACCCATTTATTCTGTGCATTTAATCTCATGCTCTATTTTATCGCCAAATACCGTTTTATGGGATCTCTGCTGACAACACTGTTGACAGTTGCAAGTTGTCCCCTCCACAAACTTTTAGTCATCCTTAACCTGCTCATCTTTTTTTTTTCCATAGCACTAACTTCTTACATTCTATATAATTGGGCTTTCCCCCTACTTATTGCATACTTTCTGTTTCTTCCTACAAAAATGTCAGCTCTGAGGGGCAGGGATCTTTGTTGATTTTGGTCACTGATGTACTCCAAGTCCCCACAGTAGTACCTGGCATACAGAAGAAGCTTTCAATAAACATCTGTCTAACGAATGAACATCTGGCCTCTGAGTGTGGTGACAGGGCCCTCAGCATGCAGGGGTTACTAACACCAGCCACTGCTCTGCAGGTGCCCTTAGGTTCTGCCCAAAGACAGTCTCCTAATGAATCTATCACTTCCATTTCTGCCCCTCTGCAGCCTCTATTGCACACACCAGCTGGGCGGGGCCCATTAAAAACCTGAGTTGGGTCACACAGCACATTTCCTGAAACCGTCTGAAGTGCTTACCCAGTGTGCAAGGCCCTAATGACTTTCCTGCCTGGTTTCACCTCCTCCCTCCTTGGTCCTGTCATGTGGCTCAGGAGGATCATTGCACCCTCCCTGCCCAGGGGCCGAGACACTGCACTTTCCTGCATTCACACGGCTCTTGCAGAGGGTGAGGGTTCCTCCTCACACTCAGGAGTTTGCTCAAATCCACTCCTCTCTGGTCACCCTTTTCTACCCTTTGCTTTGTTTTCCATCATAGCCCTTCCTCTCACACGTTTTTAAAATTTACTGTCCATCCCCCCACTTACAGGATCCCCAGCACCTGGAGCTGTGCCTGGCACTTAGTAGGTGGTCAATAATTGAACATCTATCTATTTCAACGTTCCTGGCTTACGTCCTGTCACAGTCCAGTCACATGACCGTTCCTACTACTAGCAAGACATGTTTTCATTTCCTTTCAGCCTATAAGCCAGCTCACTGCTCCCATGAAGGTTTTGTGTCACAGGCTGTCAGAGAGCTCAGAAGGCTATGTGCTGTGTTAGAGGCCCCTGGCACTTGGCAGTCAGGTGTGGGCTGTAAGGAGAGGTGGCCTTGGCTTGAGCCCTGGCCCCACGACACACAGGGTGTGAGAGTCTGGGCACACTGTCTCATCGCTCCCTGCCTCCATTCCCCTATCCACAAAGTAGGTCGTTAATACCACCCACCTCCTGTGGGTTGTGAAGCTCACAGGAGTTGATGCTTGTAAAGTTCTGTAACTGGCACATAGCTCTTGACCAGTATGTACTAGTTTTCCCCAGCCTATCTCCTGGGCCCTTCTTCACGATGGACACATAAGGAAGGGAGCAGGTCATTGCCATAGGTTCTTTTAATGAAGCCACCTCTACCCTCAAGACCTTTCCTCCATTTTTACCCATAAGTATTCATCAGAGCAAGGAGCTGATGCTGGGCTTGTTAGCACCTTGGGGCAGTGTCTCCCAGCACAGCCCATCTTACCCTGTGCAGCCCGTTTCTCCTGTATGCAGGCAGGGAGGCAGATTTGGAGATGAGGGGATCTGAAAAGAAGTCAGAGCAATTACTAGGAGCCCCAAGGTAGGGGCCATCTATCTACAAATAGCTGATGTTACTCCCAACTCAGCGGGAAGGGGCAGGAGCCAGAAGCCACAGTTCATCCTGATGCCCTCTGCACCTACAGCTTGACCGTCTTGGGGATAACTGGTAGGATTCAAGCCCACCAGAGGCACACGTGCACACAGTTTTCTGTCCTTCACACACACAGCTTTTCTATGAAGGTCCCCTGTGTTCTGGCCACAGCATGGCCCTGGATAAAGGACCTGGAATCGGAGCCAAGCTCAGAACCAGACAGGCAGGCTCCCACGTGGGTGGAAAAGGCATGTGCTTTTTCCTTCTCTTTAGGGACCGTTGGACATGGCCTCTCTGGTCTAGAACCCCAAAGTGAGGCCACAGTCTGACAACTACAGTGGGGTGGACTATTCGAGATCAGAACTGTGCCAAGACATATATACTCTGTGGCCATCAGAGATTCAAGGAGCTGCAGCTGACTTGACTCTGCCCGTGCAGAGCGCGGCAGGCTGGAGGTGGAGCAGGCAGAACGTACCGCTGTCAGCCAGGTAGTGCGAACGAGGGGCTGCAAGAGAGAAGAGCCAGACATCAGTTCATGGGCACAGGGAGATATAAGAAAAGACACATAAGTCCCATCCTTGGGCACCCTGGCTGGGGACAGCACCTCCTTTCCCACTGGTCGGTTTCCAGTCGTTACGGCTGCATTTCACCTTCCCTCTTGCAGCCAGTTTTCAGCCAAGCACCTGGCACAGAGAAGGTGCTCTGGGATTCTTGTTGTTCAAATTAAGTTATACAGAGGTGAATTTTGAGCAGCATTGGGGCACTCTGCATTCACCCAAAACTAGGGGCTGAAGACAGGGTGGAGCAGGGGTCAGATAGGGAAATGCCATCAGTTGGCCCCACCTCTGCCATCAGGAGCGGCCTAATTGCAGACAAGTTATTTAATCAGGCTTCTGTTTTCTCATCTGTGAAATGGGAGTGAGTGTCTCCTTCACAGGTCTTTTGTGAAGAATAGATGGCAAAACACAGTACGATATGAGCACAGCACCTGACACATCACCACTACCCCCGTTGTCTTCAGTGTCATCAAGATCCAGGGTGGAGCTAGGTTAAGAGGGAACAGCTCGAAGCCTTGGGTCCCTTGAACTCAGTCTGATCCTGGCTCAGTCAATTAGTGGCTTCTGGATCTTGGGAGGGGGCACAATTTCAGTTCTTTCATCTATAAAATGAGTGATGATAATCTTTCTACATTGCTGGGATCTGGGAGGACCAGGAATTATCATTCCTGGCACACAGGAATGTAATAAATGATTTACTGTCCATCAAGTATTGATCTGAGATGGGATTTCCTGGCAAGACTGAATCCCACAGAGGTATAAAAAAGGAGGCAGAAGAGTATGTGTGGGTGTTCAGGAAGAGGAGGAGCTTGCAGTGAGAGAGTCTCGGGGAAATGCGTGAATGAAGTGTCTGCTTGTATACCTGCAAGAGATGGGAGGCTCAGCACCTCTGGAAACAGGCCCCCATATCTTTAGACACTCAGACTACGGTACTTGTTTTACACTGAGGCTGATTAGAAGTCACAGCGTAGGAACGTCCAAAGAGGAGTTCAAGGCACGGCATGGTCTCATTTGTTGCTGCATCCAGCCCTTTACCATGCTTGTATTCCAGACCCAGGGGAGGCTCCCAGAGGTGGTACCAGGGAATGGGGGAAGTGGGTGGGCTTGGGTTAACCTCTGTGGCCAGCCTCTCCTGATCCTCTTATAGACCAAAGGGTGGAGTTTGGGGCTGGCTGTGTTCTCACAACACTTTCAGGAAGCAGGAGCACCATCACTTATATACTCAGTGGTCTTGGGAAAGTTCCCCCTCTGTAGTAAGTTAGGGGTTGTGCACTTGGGAAGGAGGGTCAACTCGACTGGCTTTGGGATCCATGTGGGAGACTGATAACGCACGCTTCTGGGTACTTCTGGGTGACTTGTGGAGGCGTGGCTTTGGGTGCTATGTACGGTCCCTGGACCATGTCCTGACTGGTGCTGTTCCCCTGCTCGGTTTCCCGGCTGCCATGAAGTAGGCATCTTTGCTCTACCATGACATTCCACCGCAATGTTCCTGCTTTGGAGCCACAAAGACTGTAGACCAGTGATGGGAAACCTTTTAGAGCTTTCAATTCTAACAGACAGCCATAGGTTTGCCACCACTGCCACAGACTGACTTCTCTGAAGCGTGAGCTAAATTAAACTCCTCCTTTTAGTTGTGGGCGCTGGGCACTGTGTCTCAGCAACTGAAAACCTGACTAATACAGGGCACACTGTACAGGGCTGTTGGGAAGAGTAGAGGATGTCTAGGCTGTGTCTCACAAAATGCCTGGCTCAAAGCAAACAGCCAACAGATGCTGGCATCCAAATCAGTGCTTACAGCCATTGAGGGACATATCATAGCCAGCTGTGTGCAAGGCCTCCCGGCTACTGGTGGAGCTCCGCGGAGGGGTCCAGGGATCCGCATAGGAGCTGGACCGGGCTTTCATCTCCTCCTTCAGAATCAACCGGCCAATTCCACTCTGGAGCTAGGGGTGGGAGGAGAATGATGAAGTTAGAAGGAAGCGAAGCGCACGAGATAGAACAGGTTTGGGGAAGGCGGAGCTGTTGGATCCTTTTTAAGCTGTCTGTGTCACGTTTGCCTCCCCAGCATTGTGCCTCTGTGTATACCCGTGCTTTCCTCCCAGACCGCCTCTCCTTTCCACAAGTGATCCTGAGGTCTGGGTGAGGGTCTGGAGGTGGCACAAAAAAGCAGGACCAGGCAGTGACAGAGTCATATTACTCTGGTCACAGGGATTGGTTTAATGACAGGCAGACAGCCATTTAAAAAACTGAGGTGAAAATCATGTAACCTAAAATTAGCCAATTTGAAGTACAGTCATGTCACAGTGTTCCTAGGGGAGTGGCTGCAGGACTCCCACTCCCAAAGCGTGACAGACTCCTTAGCACGCGAGTCTCTTATGTACAACTGAGTAGTATTTGCAACTCACCTAGGCACACCCTCCTCCATACTTTAAATTGTCTCTAGGTTACTTATAACAAGACAATGGAAATGCTGTGTAACAGTTGTTGTGCCGGATTGTTTAGGGAGTAATGACAAGACGTCTGTACATGTTCCGCACAGGCAGTCTTTTTCAAATGTTTTCTATCTGTAGATGGTGAATCCGTGACCTTTAGATATGGAGAGCTGATTGTGGACAAGGCAGTGGCAGTTAGTAAATGTTGAGCCAATACCACCGCCGTCTTTCCAAAATGGCTTTATTACCCCAAAGAAGACTCTCGGACTGTTAAACAATCCCTCCCCATTCCCTTCTCCCCTCAGACCCTGATCCACATCAATTTCTGTTATGACTCTATCGATTTACCTATTTCAGGTATTCTATATAAATATAAATGGAAACACACAATTTGTGGGATTCTGCGGTTCTTTTCCCACTAGAATTATGTGCTTGGGGTTCATGCATATTGAGATATGCATGAGTAATTCATTCTTTTTTATAGCTGAGTAATGTTCCATTGCATGAATGTGCCATGTTTTGTTCATCTGCGTATGAGTTTACAGACATTTGGGCTGTGACTGCCTTTTGACTACTGTGCTTACTGCTGCTGTGTACACACACACACACACACACACACACACACACACACACACGTATTTGTTTTCAGTTCTCTTGGGTATATACCTAGAAGTGGAATTGCTAGGTCCCGTGGCGATTCTATGTTTAACTCTTTAGGAACTGCTTTCCGCAGTGGCGGGACCATATTACATTCCAGTGATCTATGAAGGTGGCTTCCACTTACTGCTACATGAAAAGAACCTGCCGTGAAACCGACACAGAGGTATGCTCCACAAAGGAAAGAATTTACTAAATGCAACACCCCATGGCATTTCTTTTAGGGTTGCTAGATTTAGCTATATCCGAAGCTAATCCTACCATTTAACTTTTCAATTATGCATTTAAGTTAGTTTGAATTTGGTTTTGTCATTTGCAAAAAAAAAAAAAAAATCCTGTAAGCATTTTATTCAGTGATGTGGTCTGCTCACCTTGTGCATACTGCGGTCAAAGTCATCCTCCTCTCCTCCAGATGAGAACCTTCTGGCTCGGGGCACTGCCAAAGGACCATGGGATCAGCTCTAGAAGATTCTCCCCACTCCACCTGCGCTGGCTTAAGCCATTGGACTGACTTCCCACCCATCCTTCCCTCCCTCCTTCCTTCCTTTCCTTAGTCTCATCCGGATGAAGTGGTTCTGTGTTTGCACTCTCTGGACATTTACTTCCTATGGGTGCTGGTCCCTGTTCCCTTTGGGTTTTGGTTGTTTCTCTGTGTTACCTTCTCTTCTAAATGGAGTAGTATCTGAGCGTAATAAAGAGGTAATCACTGAGCATCCATGAAGCTTTGCCTAGACTGGACATTCAATTAGCAAAGCCAAGTGTTGAATCAAAGAGGCTCTGAAGAAAATTCCTCCCAGTACGTGAAAGAAACACCTTGGCCATCTGATTGCGTGGGGTGCTCCGCTGAGGATCAGGGTGCCTACCTATCAGAGCCTTCCATCTCCCCACATTCGCTCCTTTTCCATTCTCCAAGCCATTTTTTCACCCTATTGCCAAAGTGGTCTCTTAAAAGCATAATTGTGATCATATCACTATTTCCAGTAGCTTTTCACTGTTTAGGTTAATAACTAAAATCCTTACTTCAACTCAGAAGGCCTCATCCCACCCTTGCTCCCATCCCTCTTGAATCTCAAGGTTAAGCAGATAACCTTTCTTTCCCTCCAGTGGAACCTGCCTTCCCATCTCAGTCTTTGCAGATGTATCTCTACACTCCTCACTGACTTACCTCCTTGTCACCCTTTCTGTGGCAACTGAGGGGCTTTTGTCATCCTCTGGCTGGACAGCATACCTCAGACATCAACTCTCCTACATCTTGGGTATCATTTCTAGGAACCTGGTCTAATGTACTATCTAGTGTATCCCTAGGGTATGTGGCTGGCCCTCAATACCTGCTGTCGAATGAATTAAAATCCTCAGTATAGTTCTTCTAAGCTTTCTTTTTCAGAATGATTGGATGAAGGAGTGGGTGACAGTTCTGACCTCCCTAGTTCCTGCAGTAGGAGCCAGGGTTCTGGCCCCAGGGACCTATGGGGATGCTACCTTTGGGGGACCCATGGTAGGTCCAATACTCAGACTCAGCAGCATAGTAGGGGTCTGGCGAGTAGGCTGGACTGTACTTGGAGGCCTGGCTGATGTCTTCACTTGTTTTGCTCTTAGTTGCTGTAGACAGATCACCTGCAAAGAACCCAAGGAGAGTGCTTCAGGAAGCCAGAGTGCCTGGTTGGGAGCATGCACCCTTTCTTTGCCCTGCCAGGCTCAGTCCAAGAGTGGGAGATCACTTCAGGGCCACAGGTCTCTGGTAGGAGGGTCAGAGACATGAAGCATTGGAGCTAGAAAAGCCCTGGGCCAGACTCTTATTTTGTATTGAGGATCTGAAAGCCAGATAGGGGAAGGGACTGGCTCAAGACCACACAGCAAGTCTTCCTTAGAACTGGATCAAACTTAAGCAAAGGCTCCTTCTAGCACCTTCATGGACTCCTCTGTCTGTTCCTTAGTGAACACTAAAACTGTATCCTTAATATAAGATGTAACGTTTCCCAAGTGAGCTCAGCCCTTTCCTTGCTGGCCCTTTAGAACCCTCCGTTGTTACTGATCTGAACCACATCTAGGAGGAAATTGCCACACAGAGCCATGATCCATGATAATCAAGTCAAGTCTGCCTTCTTACATCCTGAAATTTCACAATCTGGGGAGGCTAAATGGCCCCAAACAGAGAATCACCAAAGCTGTGCTCTGTTTCCAGCTGTGCCACTTAACTGGGGTCCAACTCTGGGCAAATCCTGCCCATCTCTGCCTCAGTTTCCTGATCTGTAAGTGTTGGAATTGGTGTTCTGGCTCAGATAGAACTTGGATTCAAGCTTCTATCTGAAGTAAGCCCACAACTGGGTGATCAGAAAGCCAGTTTTAGGTACAAATATTTACTGAGTGGCCTAAAGACTGGATACAGGCTGGGGGTGAAGGGAGAATGCAGAAACTAGCATGGTCCTAGGATGATTGCCTTCGGTGAAGCTTGTGAATTCTCTTTTGATTGGCTGCTGGACGGTCCCTGCTGGCCAGCTGCATTTTGCCAGTTCATCTGCCCTCTAAACCATGGACTCCTGAGTCTGCTTCGGCGCTGCTCCTCAGGGCCTAACTAGAAGATTCCAGGAAGCCCTGAGAAGCTTGGAATATGGGGCCCCATCTGATGAGATCAGGTGCATTCAAGGTGGTATGGCCATAGACAGGGGATCCCTTCTGGATGGAAAACCAAACCAAATTTGGCCAGGGTCGGTGCCTTTCTATGGCCGCTTGAGGGCTCACAGCAGGTCCTCCCCAGAGATGTGTATTCGCACACAGTCAGACCCGCTGTGAGCCCCTGATCAGCCCCTGGAAACTGAGGACATTTCTGTTATACCACAGGCTCTTCAGCACATGACCCACTGTCTATACTTGGACTGCCCCTTGCATCAGCGGACACAGGACTGCTTGGCCCATCTCCAACCTCATCTAAGTCTGTGCTCCTCTCTGTTACTCAACTAGACCTGTAAGTAAGCAAGGATGCTCAGATGGCAGCTGCTTCTCTGCATCCTCAAAGGGAGGGATGTACTTATTCAACAGGGCAACAATAAGGGCTTCTGCAAAAATGAGCAGGAAGTCTTAGTGATGAAGGGGTTGGTAGCTCTAATACTGAATGTAGGCAGGGATTATGGACAAAACCAGTTAGTGCAGATCCTGGGCCAGACTCTTAGTATCTCTAATTAAGAGTGTCTGGGGCTTCAAAGGGGGTAAGGAATGTCCCTTTTTAATAAGTCTCTAAGGACCAGATGGTTGTCTCTGTAGACCATGACTGCAAATAGCTCACAGTAGTGGCTCCCAGACTGGGTTGGGTGTCAGAGTCATGGATTAAAAATTGTCAAAAAATACAAAATTACAATTCAGTAAGTTTTAGGGTGGGGTCTAGGAATCTGTATGCATCCCATACAATTCTAATAAATATTTTCGAGTGTCATTGTCTTAGAGGTGCAATTCTCCCAGGCTGCATGCGTTTTATAAGAATTACTCTGATCATGGGTTTTGGGACACCAGACAGTAGGTAATTGGGATTGGGGAGGTGGTGGGAAAGGGTTTAGGGGACATGAGGCCTTCCTTGCTCTTTTGAAATGATATCAAACTCTCCCCACGGTTACTGCGAGTGACTGTGGGGATGCAAATAAGAAGGACCAAGTTGTGGCCTTGCATTGGGTTGCGTCTGGTGACCTGTGCAGAGTCATCTGCAGAGATGGTTAATGACTCCCTTTCCTTAACTGGCCAAGCCCTATCTGCCTCTGACCATACCATGCCGCTTGTAGATCGGGGGTTTCCGGTAGATGTTACTTTCTCCAGCTGCCAGACAGATCAGGAAGGGAAAATGGGAAGGAGAGAGAAGACAGGAGAGAAGGAGATAATACTTGGTCAGTTGATCTCTGAAAAGAGAGAGTTTTAGCAACTTTACCCTAGGGACCACCATCTTTCTCCAGAGTTGAACCTCCAGTCTCACCCCAACAGGTTCTAGGTAAGAATGGGGGTGGGGTATGGATACAAATGGTGCCAAGGAAGAGATGTGGGACTAAGTGGTGGGCATGCAGCATGCTCGGCAGACCCCATGCAGGAAGATGCCCGCTGCTCCTCCCAGTGGTCACACCTTGTACCATGTGACAGTCCCTGGAATGCTGCAGCCAAGTTTCAGCATTACCTTCCTCCCCCACCCCACAAAACCAGACAGGATGGGACCCCTCAGGGGCAGCTGGGAGAGGTATAGATGGAACAGCAGGCCGAGCTCTTGCGGGGAAAGTGAGTGGGGAGTGAAAAGCTGAGCTCAGAGCTGGAAGGTGGGTTCTGGGCCTGGCTCCGCTGTAACTCAGGGCGGGACCTTGTCCTGCAAGACCACACCTACAAGGGCATCTAGCCTTCTTCCCATCTCTGCTCACCACCTCGAGCCACACCAGCTTTATACAAGCTGTTCCCTCTGCCTGGGATGTTTTTCTCTGGGATCTACATGGGCTGATTCTTTCTCATTCTTCAGCTTAAATGTTGTCTCCTTCAAGAAGCCCTTCCTGACCACTGAAATTGTCCTTCTACTTATTATTTTTTCGTACCAGGGATTGAACTCAGGATCTTGCACTTGTGTGGCAGGTGATGACACCACTGAGCTAAATCCCTGGCCCTATTTTTTTGTTGTTAATTTATACGTTAGAATATACATTCCATGAAGGCATGATCCAGCTTGAGTGAACTCTGTTGCAATCTCAGGGCCCAGAACAGTGCCCGTCTGTACAGACAGAGTGACATAGGCTCAGGGAAGCAGGATTGGGACTCAGTCCCTAAAGCTCTAACGCCACCAGCCTTCACTACTGTCATTGCACTTGTCAGGGTATTTCAGACTGCCTGTCAGTTCTTCTGTGGGCTGCTGCTTTGTGGTCCTAATCAAGGTTGGCTCTGTCGATGGGGCAGACTAACGCGTGTGGGCACGTTGGGGTTCGAGGGCGGTTAGTGTGGGTGATGGTTAGGGAGGGACCCTGGGAACCAGCTTCTCCTTGTTGCCTGTGCAGCATCAAGTGGGAGGCTCAGTGCCCAGCACCCCCCAGAGCATGCATCCATGTTGAGAATGCCAGGCTACAGTGCCTACCTGGGATGTGAAAGTGCTTGGGAGCCTGGTAAGAGGTCGGAGTGGAGGACCTCACATCTAACTGGCTATGGTATGGAGAGCTCCGGCCACTCTCGGGCCCTGGAGCACGGAGGCAGTGGTCCCCAGAGAGAACAGAGGCACAGAGAAAACAGGCATTAATGCAGTGGCAGTTAAAGAAGCAGTGAGTGATGACAGCAGGGAGGGGGCGCTGGGCATCCCGGCGTGCTCAGCTCCAGTGGAAGAAGCATGTGCTCTCATGCACGTCTGCAGGGAGAAGCTTCACCTGTTTCTTTGCTTGACCCCAAACCGCAGCTCATTGTAAGAGTCAACTGCACTGAGCTTCACAGGCGCCTTCTTTCTTGTCTGCGTAGCTCCCCACCCTCTCTGATGGTTCCTCCCATGACTGCCCCTTTCTTCCACCCAGGACCTGCTTCACCCCAGCTGCAGGCTGAGAGGGGAGGTCCTGACTGGGTGGGATTGGACCTTTGGGTGCTACAGTCCAGCATTTAGCCTGGTTCATTTAGCCTGGCAGGTCAAAGCATGAGGATGGAGAGTCTTCCAGCCAGGGTTGTTGGGCTGCCTGCCACCCCTTTTCCTGGCAGCACCCAGGCTCCCTGTAGCCTATCTTTCCCCTGTCTAGGGATAACTCAGAGATTCACACAGGCCTGGACCGTAATGGCTACAGGTCTCCAGAAGGCCATACTGTCAGGTAGATCCTGGCCAGGCCTGTGCTGCGTCTGCACTCCAGGGACACCAAATTGCTATACTGTCCCTGGGGCTCCCTCTGGGGCCCTTGCCTTCCTTACCTGAGCGGTAGTAGTGGTGAGGTGAGCGGGAGAAGGTGGGAGACATGCCCTGCCGGCTGTAGGTGGGAGAGTCGATGTATCCCGGGCTGGAAGCCCTTCTCTGCCGGAGGTCCAGGTTCTCATAGATGTCCTGCAGGAGGAGACGGGAATGTGAGCCAGACCTCTGTCCAACAGCAGTAGGCAGTGGGAAACAACATGGAATTGGGGATTCTAGGGGCAGGGGCAGGAATACAGAGACCCTTTTTCTGAGTTGCACACATAGCCTGAGGAGGGTGGCAGAGAATTTTTGAGGCCTTCATGTATCACTTGAAGTCCTTGGATAGAACCTGTGGGTCAGTCCCTGGAGTCTGGAGGATCACAGGGACACAAGGGGCATGATTTCTGGTGGAAGGGCTCACTGGGTTCTCTGCCAACCATTACCATGGGTTCACTGCCAGCCATTTAGGCCCTCGCCCTAGTTGGGCCAGGCACTTTGAGCAAGGGATCAAGCCTTTTGCGGTGTTAGGGAGGGCCGATATCAGAACCCTTTTTGGTGAACATAAAGGGATACAAGAACCCAAAGGTCTCTTTGAATGTCATATCTACCAGCTGAATTACCTGTGAGTAGGGAGATAATGTTCCCAGCGACTTAGAAGCGAAGAGTTGGAAGGCAGCCATGGAGGAAGCAGAGGGAGAGAGGAGGATAAGAGGAAGGGACAGGATATGGTTAAATGGTTCTGCAAAGAAAGAGCCTTTAGCTTCCCCTTGGCTCCCTCTCCATATAGTTCTACTCAGAATTCCAGAATGTCAGAACTGAGGATAAGAGGCAGGAAACTTTAATACTGTACACATGGAAAACTGTGTACCCCTTAGGGAGGCAACAGGAGGGCTAGGGCCAGCAGAGCCTCTCAGGGAGGAGGTGATGGGTCTTGGCTTGGACTCAGGTTTCTCTACCAGAAGTTCAGAACTATTCCCACAACCCTCTTGTCTCTTTCCTGGTTCTTGATCCCTCTGTGGCCGTGAGCAATACCCACGGAAAAGCATCTGAATACAGGGGCAAGCAAGGGCCAGGCTGCTGCCACCAGCAAGGTAGTGGAGCCGATGGGTGGTGTGCAAACTGGAGACAATATGACCTGATGAGAGAGGGCAGCTGCCACTCCGCCTCAGCAGATCACGCCATGCTGCCGAGCACTGACCAGCTTCTTAATTTCCCAGACAAGTCAGAAATGCAGGTTCTTAAGAGCAATTTCCCAACATTTACATGTTGACAACTAATTTACTTTCTTGAAAGACACTGTGAGTGAATCAAAACATCTGGGGGCTGGCTGTGGCCCATGGGTTCTGGTTGGTCATTCAAATTTCAGAGAATCAGCTTCGGCAGACACTTCATTCCTTTTCTCCTTGTCCATTTCCGGGATCAGAACTCAGAGAACCTCAGAGAGAGATGTGGGGATGCCTGAGGACACAAGCTAATCAGTGGTGGCTCTGGAACTGCTGGGATCCTGCTTACAGGGCCAGGGCTCCTTCTCCAAATTATTACAGCTCAGGGGGCTTGAGATGGGATTAGAAATCTCCTGGGACATTAGATGGCCAGGATCACCCAGTGTGATGGCCACCCTGCCTTCTCCAGAGAACTTTCTAGCAACCATGTACTGACTTCTAAAGCCATTTGATGCTGAACCTTTATGAATGAGTCTCTTGCTTAGACCACAGGGGCTTACAGTCAGGCACAGAACTCAGAGAACATGCTTAACCAGGAATTATGAACTTCAGTGGGCATTGAGTCTGGCTGGGGATGAGAGCCATGGGCAGAGTATAAATCAGATTCCTTCATTATGAGAAAAACAATAGCTCACATGGTAAATGCTTATGGGCCTTTAACTTCCATATTGAATTTAACAGGGAGTATGTGGACTGGGGAGAATGGAGGGCCTATGTCCTGTCTATAGCAGTGCTGCTACCCATCTCCAGATGGTAAGTTCAATGCCTGATATTTCAAAAAAGCCAGAAAGCCAGGTTTCTGGATGGAATCTCTTGATTTTTAAATGTTGGCTATTAATTCCAATCTAGAAGAGTCTTGGGGCCGACACTGTGGAGGCCAAGCCATCTATGATGAAGGGAGTTAGGGACCCCACTGGGACCTAAGCTCCTTCGACAGCCCCAGAGAGAAGGGCAAGACAGGTACCTCTCCATAGCCACATCTCTCCAGCATCTCGTCGGATGTGTATCTGGAGTGAGGCTCGTAGGAAATGAGGTCAGGACGTTGCACCTCGTAGATGGATTTAACCTTGGGAAGAGCTGCCAGGTCTTTGTAATTAAGGATCTCATTATCCACTTTAGCCTGGGGAAGATGGAAATGGGTAGGAAAGAAGAAGAAGGATAAGAAGGAAAAGAGAAAGGAGAGGAAACAAAACAAGGTAAAGGAGGAACGAGCTTACCCAGTTTACACTATAGACAGAATGGGAGGACAGAAGTGAAGTTACACATCAGAATAAGAATGGTCTTGGGGCCTCCATTCTAAAACTGCACATAATAATTGAGCACATACTGTTTTTAAGGCCCCATGCTTTACAAGAGTTATCTTCTCTAAATGTCATAGCACCTCTGTAAAGTGTTAACAACATTCCGATTTCCCCAGATGAAGAAATGGAGGCTCAAAATATTCCACAGCTAGCATGATTTAGTTGGCAACTTTGAATCCAGTCTGAAGTACACAGTCTGCATGCTGTCTTCCAGCCCCACACAGTGAGGACCTTCCCAAGAAGAAGATGGTGAAGACAAAAGCAATTATGTAGTAAAACATAAGTTAACATTTGGTGAGCACATATTGTGAGCCAGGCTCAGTTGCTAGTCCCTTATATGGATTAACTCAGTTCATTCACACAACTCTCATATTGGAATTACATTATCTTCATTTTGTGTAAGGAAACAGAGGCACAGAGAAGTCAATTAACTTGTCCAAGTTCCCACAGCCAATAAGTAGCAAAAGCCAGGATCTGAACCCAGGTAGTCTTACCTGAGAGCCCCATCCCACCCCTTTTGGCTTCCCAGGATGGTGGTTTCATTATCTTATACCATCTAGGGGCTAGTCTTGGAAAGCTGCCCTTTAGAGGGAACTGAAATAAAGCTCACACTTCTACTGGACTTCGCCCAAGTCCACTGCTGTAGAGGCACGTAGATTAGAAGACAGCTTCCCTTTCATGTGTCAGTCCACCTCCCATGGCTCCTGAAGCCATGTCCTTTCCGCACATCTGTCCTCCAGCTGTTTCCGCCATGACTTGGTTCCTGCTCTAGCCAACCAGGATGGGTCTCTCTCCTGTAACTGTGTGGACTGGAAGGTCCCAGGGTGAGGTGGATTAAGTCTGAGACCACTGTAGACAGAATCTTTATGGTGCTCTCCCAGTGCCCAAAGGGTAGGTAGTCTCAGGGCCTGGCTATACTAAAGAGAGAAGCTTTCACAAGTACCTTATAAGCTTTACTATTTACACAACTTCCCAAGGCCCTTTACTCTGCTATCCCTGGACCAGTCCCTGGCACAGGCTGTTTATTCTCCATTGACCCTGGACTCATTGTCTGTCCTTTCTTGCCTGGATGTGTGCCCTGAGCCCCCTGGGCTGCATCACAGCCTCTGTTGCTCTTAGGCAAGTCTGGCCAATGGGAGGTGTGAGCAGACAGGAGGCAGAGTGGAATGAGAGGCTGAATCCTTACTCCCCTTGTCACCTTCCTGCCCAGCTGTGCTTGGGTGTGACTCCCACCTGGTGTCTGCTTTTCTGTAGCTCCAGTCTCACCAGCCCTGGTAATGCCATTCCTTTCCCTTGGCTCTTTATGTCTGGGGTGGCAGCAATACCCACTGCTGAAGTCCTTCGATACCTTGCTTTTCCTTGGGGGCCCCTCGATCCTTCATGAAGTCCCTCTTAGCAGAACTGTCATCTGAGGTGTGCTACACAATTTCTGCCAGAGCTGGCTTGGTACAGACACTCACCTCTACCAATTTGGGGTAAGTGGGTAAGGGGAACCTTATCAGGGGAGTCCTCTTGCTGAAGTAATTGGTGCCTTTTGTCCTGGGATGTTAGATCCTGACCTTGAGGACTCCTGGCATCTTACAAACTCATCTGGATGCATATTTAGTCATCTAAGCACTTTTCTCCAAACCTCAAAAATACTATATTTATATTTTATAATGCTATAAATGAACCTTGGGTCTGGAGGCACAGTGATTGAATAGTGGCATCCTAACATAATTAGCCAGGAAGGAAGAAAGGAGATGTGGGAATCAAGCCACCTGATGGTGCTTCTAGAAGTCAAGGGGGGATGGAACGAAGTTTGAAAATTAAAAAGAACTGGTTTCAAAGAACCCATCCACCTCAAGTTCACTGATTACATTTTCATGCCAAACCTCAAGTATCTTTCTGCGTGTTGTTGTATGTTCCTAATGTGGCTGGGACACCCCCCCCCCATTTGGAGGCTGTATTTGGAATGGTCTGACTTAAGGTTGGGTGCTGTGACATGCCTGTGACAGAGCAGCTGTACTGAGGCACACAGAGGGTGAGAAGGGAGCAAGGTGGAAAGACACAGATGTGCAGGGTAACTGATCTTAGTGGAGAAGCCCCTGGTGTCACTGTTCGCCTGCAAGGGAGCTGCTCCTGATAGAAAATTCGAGGCTTTCTCCAAGACTCTGATGTGAACATCATCAGGGCCTAACTGTGTCATCAGGATCAATAAAGCCTCTTGGTAGCATGGGGAACCAGACGGCGATTAGTGCCATCCTGGTGCAGTGGCTCCCCGAGCTGGCACATCTGGTGACTCTCCTCTGGAGATGTGCTCACAGTGCTCAGTAACCTTCTCACAGTGCAGGCCCTGAAAATGAGCCCACTGATCCTGCTGTGGTTTGATCTCATTCATAGTCTCAGGAGGACCATCTTTTCTCTTATTCCAGATAGCAACTGTCAATGCATACAGCTTAGGATCAAAGTAGCTTGTTTTGGGCTGGGAGAGTGGCACAGTGTGGAGCGCTTGTCTAGCATGTATCCCGGCCTGGGTTCCATCCCTAGAACCATAAAAAAAGCAAAGGAGAAAAAGAAAAGCTTTCCTTCTGCAACAGCTACATGGTAATACTGACTCATATTGAAGTTGCACTCAATAATTCTTACATTTTTTTTTTCATTGATCAGAGGAAGGAAGGAGAAGAAATGGTGCCATCCATGGGGATTATCGAGGGGTCAAAGAGGAAACTGGATGTGGATTTGGAGTAATGCTTCAGCCATGGTATCAGAGACCACCCCAGGCTAGTGGGTTCCTTGCTCTCAGCCATCCCTCCGCATTTCTGGGTTTCTTGGTTCCTTTGATTTGTGGGAGGCTGGAACAGTGCAGAGTCCATCAGGAAGTGTGTGTTGCTCATTTCAGTTCTCCCTGGCCTCCCTGCCAGCCCACCTCCTTTGGCTTAATTCTATTTATCCTTCAAAGTTGAGTGTAAGAGCTTTTTACTCTGGTTCTATGCTCTGGTCCCTCTGTTTAGCTGTAGCTTCATCAGGGCATCCTGTGCATTTCCATCCTGGCACTTCTCGTAGCTGTGGCTGTTTCATGGCCTGATATGTCCCATGGCGTGAGAGTAGGTATCGGTTCAATGTTGCTCACCACCATTTGCTCAGGGCAGAGCACAGTGCTTAGTACAAGAGTTAGTGGAACCTCAGCACACATTTGTTGAAAGAATAAATAATGTGTGTTTTGGACTTCTGGGGCCACCTAGCTCATCTCTTGTTCCTTCTGCCACATCCCTGGCAAATGCTGAGCCTATATTTGAGTGGCTGTGCAGATGGCAGCTCAGTCACCTGCAAGTGGTCTACTTCATCCCTGGTCCTTGCCCACAGTTAGAGTTATTTTTCATGCCTGCAGATCCTTTATAGCTGTGTTTCCACATGCTGTGGCTTCCTTCTCCCTTCTGCCTCTTCATCACACACTGCTTGCTCCCTCTGTGTCACTACCCACTCAGTGTCCAACCCGAACACTGCTTGGTCTCAGTCAAGGAATGGGACAAGGTCCTCTCAAACCCCATGAGCCAGATGTTGCCATGAAGGCACCGGAAAGGAGCCTTTGCAGTGGTTTCATCACCCAGCAGAGGCTCTCGCTGTCACTGCACTTTCTCATGCTCCACGAAGCTGTACACGATCCCTTAAGTCTTGGCTCACCTGACTGTGAGCTTGAGAGCAGGGTCCACACCCTTTCTGTACCTCACTGCACCCCCAGAACCTGGCTCAGAGCCTAGCATATGACAGGGCACACACTAAATATGAGTTGGATAGAACCTGACAGCTCCACTCTCCTTAGAAATACTTCAATGCCAGGCTGGGCTAAACAAGGCCCTTTGGTAGCTGAGGGGTGATACGTACACAGATGACTCGGTTGGGTGACCCGATGCTGGACCCAGGGGGTGAGATGGAAGTTTCAGAAGTCCGTCTGTGCTGTGGGAGAGATAGGACAGAAGAAGTGAGATGCTGCATCCTGGGCTCGGTGAGGATGGGAGGACTTGTATGCGAACACAGCTCTTCAGGGCACATTAACAATACTATTAAAGTACCCTCTGGCTAGGTCTCTACTTTCTCTTTATTTTCTGTCATTGTAATCAATATCTGAGGGTGAATTAGGTCCAAAATGTGTAGGACTTCAGGCTGTTGGACCGAATATGAATTTATTTTCTACTTATGTTTGTAGCTGGCATTTAAATTTGGATATTACTCATAAAACTTCTCATTTGGGGTTAGCCTAGCCAATATGTGTACTTTAAATGAATGACATTTCTTAGGATTCATTCCTTGGTGGTTTGTTTATTCAAAATGTGAACATAGGTTAAACTTCATGTAATTAGGGAACACGCTAACTCTTTACAGTGTATGCTTTACAAAGTGACATCAACCTAAGTGAAAAATTTTAAAAAGTCTGTCTCTGAACAATAGCAAGCATGGATTAATAGTTCCATTGGCAGAACAACATAATGTCAATCTTAGCATACCTATGGGAATGATAGCATGCTGTGGGGGAAAAGTCAGCAGATCGGGAATCAAGGGTCATACATGGTCCCCGTGATTTTAGAGATCATGGATTCCCGATGTGTAAAATGAAAGGGCTGAGCTTCAAGACTGCTCAGTTCCCTCCCAGATCTTTTCATCCTACAATTTAAAGCCTGCTAAGTGGGGGCTGCTTAGCAGCATTCTCCAAACTGTGGACTGAGAACAAGGGGTGGCTCTGGGAAGATGAATTTATGTGGAATGTTTGATAATATTGAGTCATACAGGGAGAGAGTGAAATGTAACATTTTACTTCAGTCCTCTTGATTATATCAAGGAGAACTCTCAATTTGGTGCCAATACATTTCAGCAACTGTCTCAACAATTGCTAGTTTCTATTTTTAACCAAAGAGAATGCTGGCAATGTTAGCTACAATTTTTAAGATGTATTAAGAATCATTTCATTATCACTGATTCATTTTATGGTTGCCTTCTATTTATAGCAAGTGCTACTAGTTTTTACTTCCTGATATATATTTTTAAATTATTTTAGTTCAGAAAAAGTGGTAAATTGATTTAAAGAAAAATATTAAGTTTCTAATGATATAAAGAAACGGTAAGATACAGCAAAAAAAAAAAAAAAT